TGAAAGGGACTTGGGGGTCATGATTGATCACAAGATGAACATGAGCCTCCAGTGTGATGCTGCGGCTTGTAAAGAGAGCAAAATGCTGGCTTGCATCCATAGATGCTTTGAGCAAATCCCGGGACGTCATTCTCCCATTGTACTCGGCCTTGGTGCAGCCACAGCTGGAATACGGCATCCAGTTTTGGGCTCCACAATTCAATAAGGATGTGGAAAAGCTTGAGGGAGTCCAGACACGAGCCACGCACATGATCAGAGGTCAGGAAAACAGACCTTATGAAGAGAGGCTGAGAGTCATGGGACTCTTCAGCCTGGAAAAGCGCAGGCTCAGGGGCGCCTATAAGTTTATTGGGGTACTCACCAGGATCTGAGGGAATGTCTGTTCACCAGAGTGCCCCAAGGTATGACACGGTCAAACAGTCACAAACTCCTCCATGACAGTTTCAGGCTGGACATAAGAAAGAACTTCTTTACTGTCCGAGCCCCCAAGGTCTGGAATAGCCTGCCACCGGAGGTGGTTCAAGCACCTACTTTGAACGCCTTCAAGAGAAATTTGGATGTTTGTCTTGCTGGGATCCTATGACCCCTGCTAACTTCCTGCTCCTGGGTAGGGGGCTGGACTTAAAAATCTTCCGAGGTCCCTTCCAGCCCAAATGTCTATGAATCTATGACATCTATGAAGACTCACCGCTAAGCAGCATTCCAGGAAGGGGAGGTGTGACATGCAAAGCGCTTGGTTTTATTCTTAGGAACAAGCCTGCAAATGATGGCTATCTTCCAGAATCAATAACCTCGATGCTTGTTTATTCATGCAATATAAAAAGTTAATAGTCTTCTTCACTAAGGACAGCTATAACCAAAAACCAAAGACAGTGTTTAACAGCGACTGGTTTTTTACTGTACATTAAGAAGTATAAACACTAAACTTTACAAGAAACCAAGCAGACTGGCATAGCAAAGGCCAGAAACCGTTGAACATACACAGAAAGGAGGAGAGCCCAGGGAAGTAACCTGGCTCTGGGATTGAAGTCTAGAGCCCGTAGCAAGCCCTGGCCC